GTGCAGCACCTTAATGTTCATCAAGGAGAGTTCCAATCATTTCACGTTGATGTTTTATCTCGCGTAAGTCTAGTATAGTATTATACATATTTTGTGTGTGTGTGTGTGTGTGTGTGTGTGTGTGTGTGTGTGCGCCTTACTTAGAAAACCACGGATTCTTAAGCATGCTAAGTACTCTGGACATGCGTTTTTATCCATATTTATGTAATTTTTGTACAGAGCTTATCAGATGTTTCTGCATATTAAACCAGTGTTTTGAAGTGCGATTTATCGAGAGATACATGTAGATATCTTATTCATTCTAAATTGTAAGCAGACGCACAGGAATTAAAGAAAACATTTTTGTTTTCGCAAAATCGACAAGTATACGATGTAAAAATAAGTAAATTAGTTACTAATAAGACAGTAAAGAACCCAGGAAGCGATGGAACAGACGTAAAATACAGCGAGGTACAGTAGCAGGCGAATCGATCGGGGATGATTAATAAGTGACAGAAAAAAATGATAATGACAAGAAATATAAGTATTTAAGACGCAACATCAAAACCAACAAGTCGTCGCATTTTCGTTTTATTTCTAAAATAATTCAACGCCAGCTAATTTAGCTCTGTGACAACTTTTCCAGCGCGAATGGCGTGACAGACTCGTTATGGTTGGGACTAAGTTACAATGACTCAAGAGGATCGACGTCCGATTTCTCTGAATTCATGTGGAGTGACGGCGAATACGTTAACTTTACAGGTAAATATCACATTTCATTGGTGCGCCCTTTACAAAAATGTGTCTAAACTGAATTTCAGTTTAACTTATTATTATTATTATTATTATTACTTAAAGGCCCAACACAGTAGGGCCGGCCGGTATGCTTGGTTTAAATATTATAAAAAAAATACGTGCTAGTATGTGTAGGGTATTTTAATTTGACTTTATGGTTAAAGAAGACGACACTGCATTACATAACATGAATAAATTATTTCACCTATTAGATTAAAAAAATTAAACGAGTTATTCATCTCAGCTAAAGTGCATTTACCCGAAACAGGATTGGGAATTAGGTAATGGATTAACACTCATTATATTAACACAGAATAGGAAGTAACTCCAAAGTCCCAAAGGCCTAAATAACCATAATTTAGACAAAAAAAAAAAAAAAAAAAAAAAAAAAAACTCGTCTGTTTCCTCAAATACCTATAGCTGATATAAATCAATATTTCAGTGACAGACGGCAATCCTGGCGACGTAGTCGGCACGTGTCAGGGAGTGGCCTTGACCCCCAGTGGGTTTGGATCGTGGACCCGGCAGGGCTGTGAAACACTTTCCAGATATGTGTGTCAGAGGACTCTCGGAAATCCTCCAGGTAGGCCTATTGATCAGTTATAATTTTATTTTGTCAAATATTTATGAAGGACTGTGCTTAGGGATACTATGAGTATTTCTTACGCAGCTTCTGAATGTTGATGAAAATGTACACACTTAAACAGTAAACGTAGTATTTGAATAATTACACACTCAGGGCACTTTCATACACACAGCACACTTAAACCAGTTTTGAATTTCAATATGGGCAACTATAATAAAATCACTGTGTGTTTGCGAGAGAGAGAGACAGAGAGAGATAAAAAGATAGAGAGTGATAGAGAGAGAGACATGGCTCGGGCGCATGAGGTGGTGTGTGTATGTGTGTGCGTTTTGTATCAAAACGTTGCAGTGCATTCAGTTCTTTGAATGTCACAGTAAATGTAGACAATGTGTATAAAGCAGGAAAACGCCATTTCCCATACCCTTAGCCTGTTAATCGACACTTCTCATAGTAGTACATGTAGGGGGCCTACTGCGACAGCATTTATTCCATCTGTGAAACCCGGTTCCCTAAACCCTGTTTAGCCAGTTTTCAAATACCATGCGTGCTTTGCATTTTAATTCCTGTATTTATTTATTTATTTAATTATTTATTTATTTATAATTGATGCAAGATAATCATTCCATTTATCTACATTACCTATGAATATCTAGCTAATTCTACTCACGGAAATAAACAACGACATTTTCAAAGACAACAATAACCCCATTCTTTAACAAAACATCTTGCTGATCAAATGAGTAACGGATATTGCATATATTTAATCATTTAATGTACATTCTATAGATACCGTATGTTCGCACCCGACCGCCATATCTGGAGGGTACTCAACTCCGACGTACGGCCTGTGCTCCACGGGCACCAACTGCTGTTCTGTGAACACCACCGTTGTCTTCACCTGCGACCCCGGCTATTACGTGTCCGGTCCAACGTCCGTGTATTGCGCTTCCAGCGGACTGCTGTCCACTACAACAACCTCTACGTGTTTACGTGAGTATCTTTAAACTAGAAGTATATATATTGATGCACCTTGAAAGATCTACATTATAGTTGTTAAATTCAATCCGAGCTTTCGGCCCCTGGGCCTTATTCGGGAATATGAACAAAAAAGTCGTTTTGGCGACCACATCGTCTGTGAAATAACGTAAGTGGATGATTTGGAATTTTGCTCATAAATGTCCGCTCTCTGCGACCAAAACTACAATGTATGTTTGCGTTAAGAAGGTAGATGATTTAATTTTTAAGAGATGGAGTTTATTAGCATGACATATGTACGTGCAACAGGCGTAGAGAGATGAAATAGACCATTGTATGGATCATAAAAGACCAGATACTTCTTTCACATTTAGCATTTACAAGAACCGAAAACCGTTGAGGGCAATGGAAAAGCTGATCGAGGCAATTAAGTGATAATGACATGTAGGCCTATATCAATCCATGCTCTCTAATTAAAAAAAAATGTTTATCCACTGATCTGTTTCCATTGTTATGCTGGTCAGAACATTGATGTATTAATTCTTTTTTATTAATTCAATTCAACCGTTTTTCCCTATCCATTCTTCATTTTCATTCATTTACTTATCCAATAATAAAAGTTCACCTCGTGTTTCCCAGCTTTACCTTGTCCCAGCATCAGCATCCCGGTCGAAAACCACGTGACAGTGACGTCAACTTCCGGTAGCATGACGGACACAGTGACGTACATCTGTCAAAATGGTTACGAAATGGCGGATTCAAGCACGACTTTATCAAACCTGTGTACCTGGAACTACACTCTAGAGGCTATGGCGTGGACTGAGGAGCCACCAGTATGCTATGGTTTGTAAAAACAACCTGGTCAGTTGCAATTATTTTTGTGCACAAGCTCATGGGTTGCATTGTACAGTGGACATACCTGTATTTTTGAACTGACTCAATTCTTGTTACATGTACCGTTACACATAATTGCTACTTATTTTTCTTTCTTTATTCTGTTTTAGTATTATATTTGTGTGTGTGTGTGTGTGTGTGTGTTTGTTTGTTTATTGTTCTTAGGTCTATAACGACTGCCTCAATGTCTACTTATATCCTTATCTGAGTGTGCTAGGAAAAGTAATACATTTATTTCAGGAACGAACGTTGTTTTCTACCCTTTCTCTCATTTTTATAATAGTTATATTATTATATTTTGTATGCTTTTATATTATTGGCTAATATGTGCATATCCATAGGTAAAACCAGCTTTCAAAATATTTATTCCATCAACCACATAATTCTAGGGTTACCATGCCCCGATTTGACCATCGACCATGCCGGAAACTACAATTGCACGGGCACCAACGGAACTATGGGAGATACAGTCACGTGTACGTGTTACCCTGGTTACGCATACGGGAGCGGAAGCAACACCCTCGTGTTGACGTGCACTTGGGTGGTGAGCAGTACAGGGTGGTCTACGTCACTCACGTCATGTGCAGGTATGTAATGGTATAGAAGATGACGTGTAAGTTGAGTTAAAGCAATAATAACTCTTCCTTTGAGATTCAATATTCCGCAAGAAATACATTGTAAACAACGCCTGGAAATATATTCTATTGCATTTTCCCACTAAAACGACTGTTATTGTAGTAAAACTAAAATCTGTGCTTGTCACTTGGGCTTGCCTTTCTTCACGGTCGTCAAGGCATCCGTTGCCCATGACGTTGAGGTGTCACGCGGATTCTCGCGTTCTTTCGAGACCAAAATAACATGGCGGGAAACCCTCAGACGTAAGTTGCGAGTTTTTGTACAGTGCGTCGGATAACGAAAAGCCCAGAATTGCGCACATTGTAGATATAAATGCATTTTGAGCAATAAGACGAATATATCTTATGAATCTTATATAATTGTTATATAGTGTTGTTGTTGTCTGTTTTTTCCCGCGGTTTTAAGTAGGTCACCAGAAACTATCGCTCGATATCGCGTGACTATGCCATGTCAGAGAGGGCTCCGTCAGTTAAAATCTCTTAAGAGATTTTAACAAAAAAAACGTACGTTTAGGAAAAAAACCCTGGATTAACTTTGAATGCGGGAATGGGGTCGTTGACCATTGGTAAGTACGGGGAAATTGCCGTTTTTTCCAGGAAAATCGTAGTTTTGGCCAAAACGAAGAGTTATTATGACTTTAACTTGTATTTTTTTTAGTTCGGATATTTACAGATATACCTTTAACTGTCTGCATGCTCGAATTTTCTGATTCTGTGATATTTGTGTTATCGTTTGGTTTCAGAGAACATTATGTTCTTCTGGTTCTTATACTCACGGGTTTTTCTTCAATTTCTTGATGCTTATAACAGTATCTTCTCTCTTTCTCTCTCTCTCTCTCCCTCTCTCTCTCCAGCTTACGCGGAACGTTTTTTTTTTTTTTTTTTGGATAAATGGAACGTAACCGCAGGGTTATATATTGCTTATTTACGTTCTGTGTTAGCTGTGTCTCTCTATCTCTTTTTCTCGTTTTATTCATTATCAACTCCGCTGCCTTAATCAATGAACTCCATCACCATCACTTTTAACTTTTAGCCCAGCCGTGTCCACCTCTGATCAACCTGATCACGGCTGACCATCACGTCCAGATCCCGGACAGCAGTACAGTGACCGTGGGTCAGTCTGCCTTTGTGTTCTGTGAAGGCGGCTACGCTCTGAACGGGGAGACGACCCAAAACATAACGTGCAGTGCTAGTGGTGCCACGTCCGCAGATTGGGTTGGTTCTTTAACGCCTTGTGTGGGTAGGTACCCGTACATGTAGCAGATGAGACGACAGAAAAATCGGGGCAGAACAACAAATAAACATATTGGCGGATCAAATTTGGTCGATCCATTTGAATGCGTGTTGTGTAATCCCCACGGGGAATCTATTCAGTGCCTTACCAGGTGTAAGTGGGTCGCCATACTTGATCCGCGGATCTGTTTGTCCGGTATTCTGAATGCGCTCTTACATTGGTTCGTGTGCTAGTATATTGATGTACTAGTAGAAAAATAGCCCTGGATATTTTTTAGATTTTTACTCGTTACCGCAATGCAATCGCTAGTATGACATTTCCGACACTCCTCGCCTCAAAATACCGCGAAATCTCTAATGATTTGGCGCTGTGACGCAAGACTTTGGGTTATCTGAATTAATCATATACAGGAATCGTTTGGATTATTCTGTAATGCATTTAAGCCCCAATTAAGTTTGACTTAACATCGAGTTTAAACGTAACGCACTTTTAACGTGACTCTCATGGCAAACTGAATATTTCTTAACAAACTCCACTGAACGTTTTCGTTCCAGCCCTACCTTGTCCGGCAATAGAACTAACGCCAGAGAACCACCTGGTGATGGCAAACCTTTCCGGTTCCATGGGGGACAGAATCACGTTTGAGTGCGAGACCAATTACACGTTGCCGGGATTTGTGAACACGATGGTCGCCGACTGCATTTGGGATGGGCTTTCCACCGCGTGGTCTCAGCCGGTGCCCTCGTGCATAGGTGAATGGATGTTTTTTTTTTATTATTCTCGTTTATTTTTATTTATTTATTGTATATTTGTTTGTTTTTTCTTAATTTTATTTGTCTGTTTGTTCCCTTTTATTTATATAAATTAATCAATTTTTTTTTTTTTTTGTGAATGTGTAATAAATTCTGTATCTATTTATTTATTTATCTTGACTGTTTGGTACGCCTGCTATTAAAGTCAGTGCGTGGAGTACAAAAATGAAGAGACGTAAGCTCTAGTCAGGATTATCGTACCCTTTAACATATTGATATCACAATGTGCCTGCATTGTATTTTTTTAGCCATATGCGCATCGCCCACAATTCCAGCGGAGAACCACGTCACCGGAAATGTTTCGGCCGCCATTGTTGGAGACCGGATCCTGTACGTGTGCGAGTCTGGATACGCCGTTCAGTCCGGTGACCTCTATTTGACCTCTGTGTCCGTGGGTTGCGTCAGTGATGTTCATGTTGGTGCTGTTTGGGAAACAAATCCTCCAGTGTGCATAGGTTAGACACTTTTGTCGATCCCTTCGTGTTGATCATTATTAGATTATAAAAATAATAACGTAAATCGAGGATCGATAATAACGCACAAAGGTTGCCACAATCTTGGGTGGAAAACACAGTTACAATTTACGCTTTTATATCGTCACATAGGAACGATGGATTTTAAACTAAACACAATAAGGTACAAAAAATGGCTTGAAAGCAATGGAACAATAATATCTTAAGATAATCAAAATATTATTTTGAATTTTAACACGTGCGAATGTTTTATGTTGATCATATGGGCTAATTCAGTAAAACGCATTCTTTTAGAAAAGAGAAAAGTTAAATCGCTCTTTAAAAAGAAACCAACAGCTTATATGTAGGCCTATAACAATAACTCTTCTTCTGATTATTATTATAACTCTTCTTGTGATTATCATTATTATTATTATTATTATTATTATTATTATTATTATTATTATTATTATGCAGGTCTACCGTGTCCTCCAGTCATCGTCACGGAATGGACCCACGCCCAGGTGACGGGCAACTTGACTGCGTCTAGGGTTGGTGACAAGGTAGACGTCGCTTGTGAGCCTGGGTACAGTCTGGATGACAGTGTCACCACCAACTACTCCATAGCATGTATCATTTATGATGCACAGTCCGGGCAGTGGGGCCAGCCCCTTGCTAACTGCACCCGTAAGTTTATGAATATCCCTAAATTAACCTGGTCAGTACTCACGCAGTAGATATTCAGCGTAAAATGTAAGAATCTACCTATATTGACCGATTTTTGATTCTGCAAAGGTCGAGTTGACCCCATTAGAAACTTTATATTTCAGCAACTCCTTGTCCATCTGTATTAGCTATGAGCGCAAATGGCGTGGAGTTTAACAACTCTGCTGCCGCGTTCGGTGACGTTGTTAATTTCACGTGCACCCCTGGTTACGTGCATGAAGACCCCGCTGTGACGTCCGTGGTTGTCGGCTGCGTGTTACAAAATGGAAGCAGCACACCTTCGTGGGAGGTGGACCCCCCTCCATGTTACGGTACGTTACTATCTTAGCATTTTAAGTTTATACATGCATATGTTTGGTAGTTATTGAGAGCATATTTTCTTGCAGCTGATATAATTAAATTTTATTTGTTGATCGTACATGTAACCGTATTCACATGCACGCATGCATGTAGGGTGTTATGCTCCCCCTATTTTCCAGGTTTACCGTGTCCAAATATGACGTTTCCTAATGACGTCAGACAGGCGGGGACGTCAAACGTTACTTCAAACGTCACGAGCGGGCCACAGTGGATAGCGGACGGTCGTGTTGGAGACACGTACACGTTTTACTGCGTGGAGAACATAGTATTCCCCGACGGCTCCTCTGAGTTCACCGTGGCGTGTGTGTGGCAGGGGAATGGGACGGGCTGGAACAGGGAGGTCCCTTCATGTAGGGGTGAGTCAATATTAATACTGAAGAGTACGCCACGAGGAAAAATGCAATAATAAAATATCTGAATATTGATAAAATGACTGGATCCAGTAAACTTTTTAAGCTGATGTCACAAATAGGTTTCCCTTTTGCCGATGTTTAATGAGAAGTTTAAGAATGTCGTGTACTCGCTTCAGTTTTTTGAACATTACAAATATTAACAGACAAAATTGAAACATTTATAAATTGTACCTTTCTTGAAAATGATGAGTTCATATCATTGTGGGGCAAATTAACGTATTTCAGAGACCAACCTGTTGGACTCGCTGAATATCTCCGCTCTGACAAGTCCCTCGGCCATAGCGGACGCTTTGAACGGCACGCTGGGCTCTATGTCAGCGGTAAGTACCGCAAATAAATTCGCAATGCCGCTTAACAAATTGTCTCTATATAAAATTCACAAGCATAAGCACTATGATACATTTTAACGTTAAATTTTGTGTCCTAAACAGTTATGATATTATTATTTATTGCTTTAAAGTTTTCATAAATACACACATTAATTTTTAAATTTTCTTTGGAGTTTGACCTCATCTTGGTAAATAAATAAATAAAAGTACGAAGATAATTATTTTCAAATTTTGGGCAACCTTTTCCAGCATTTTTAATTTTGTGTCGCAGTGCCTTTTTTTAAATGTGATTATGAAAATAAACGACCAGTAAGCGTTTTTGTTACAGCAAACGTAACCCCGAGTCTTCCACTCTTTTCAGGATTCGTCAAACGGGACCACGAACACGGAACAACTGAAAGAGGTTTGTCGCTGTGCGGTCATTAATAATTCAATCATAATGAATGACTTTAGCCACTCCTTACAGAACACGTTTAAGTGGATATTGACTGAGGGCTATTTTTACGACCAATCAAATTTCGCATGCACTGTGTACTGCCCTGCACACTAGTCCTGTACGATTCGACGTTTAAGCTACCATCCGACCGAATTAAAAAAATCCGCTCTGTATGATTAAATTCTATATTTTGCCATTATCCTCAAGCCATCCTTCCACCCGGCCATCTCATTAAACTTATAAAGTTACACTATTAGCTATATATTTATACAATACACATAAACTTGAATTCAAATTATAGTATAACGTAAACTTCCTGTTCTTGTTACACTCCATGCTAACAATAGAAAATCCAGTATTATATTCTAATCATGAATGATACTATAAAACAATGTAAACTCACATTGTTACCAACCTGTGTGTCACTCTATATACTAGCTGCCCAGGTAGAAACTCAACTGTAGGGTAATGCTGCCTTAGCTCAATCCTCAATTTCACAGTGTGGCCACAAGTGGAGGCCATGCCATGCTAGCACACTCCTCCTCTACTGTTCAGTTGCCCAGCCTTCACACACACCTACTCCCAACTCACAAGTGAAGGTGTTCTAGTATAGTAGACTTACACCTCACTGTCCACTAGGTCATATTGCTAGTGAGTAGTACTCTAGTCAATTAACGCTCTGATAATCATACACTAAGTGTTGGGAGACACATTGCATGTGAAAACACGTGGTTTCTATTGGGTACAATATTTGATATTCATAGATCTATACTTTTTTATATAATTAATTTATTTCTTACACAATATTCGCAAGGTGATAATGCTGACTCCTCAATATTCCAGTTACGTGACGTCCTGATGACCAGCCTGTCCAGTGTACTGGACACTGTCAGTGACGAGGCTGGACTGGTCAGCGTGGCCAACTTGATGTCCACGGTGACCGATACCACCCCTGACCAGCTCAGTGACAACGCCATGGTGAGCTGACCCCACATATACATGTAGATGTATATGCATGTTATACAATAAATAAACACATTGGTGCATGTTTAGGCGTGAACTATGTAGTATTTGACAGAAAGGTTCATTTATTTGATACACCTAATTTAAAGGACAGAGTTTTTTTCGGGGGGGGGGGGGTTAAGAATTCTAGCGTATTTAAACTGGTCCATACCAGTAGCTTTTCTAGTACTTTGAAGAATAAAGAGAAAATATGAACCTCCTGATATTAAGGATGCTTAAAGCCTTTTGCTCCCTGGAATCAACTTTATAAGTGACACAAACCTGTGACCTCAGGCTATAGTTACACATATTGCGTACACCCTGTAGATCTAATTATGTTTTGTTTCGAGACATAACGTACATTTTTAACCGTTGTGACCATGAAAGGATTTTGTTTACAGGACCAAGCGGCCAATATGTCCACTGCGTTGTTGGGACACGTGGCTTCAGCAAACCTGTCCACGACCGCTGTGACGTCATTGCTGACGTGTAAGGACAGTTCTAAGTCATCGACTACTCGTGATATCTCACCTTTTATCTTAATCGTTTATCTATTTTCTCCTATCTATCTATCCGTTTGAACATATCAAGTCTGCAATGACTGCGCCAAAAATGATACCACATAATAATCAAAACATTACCTAAGTAAAAGTAAAGTTACATTTTCAATTTCATCAATGTAAGGTATTTATTTGATGCCGTTGACATTCCTGTTATAACGGGGCCTACGTCATGTATCAAGTCATTTTGTAAATTAGTTTGCAATTTATATATAATACGTCTTAACGTCCGATGAAACTTGGCATGATTCAAAGCATAAAATCTGTGCTCACGACTCGAAACTGTGAAAGTATTTTCCATAGAGCTCTCGATTAAGACTAATTCCACAACAATTGTTAGCCTTAGTTTGAATTGTTTGAACGATGTAAACGTATTTTTCTGACCGCAGCTATAGCCAGTACCACGGGCAGTCTGCTCAACGCAAGCCTCTCGGCGCCTTCTGGCAATGGGACGACAAGCGCAGCCGATCAGGCGGTAAGAAAATATATGTTTGTTTGTTTGTATGCCACTCTTCATTTTGTCGCATGGGGCAACTTTTATTTAGCTAAGGGAACAGCACTGCGATCGAAATCAACTGATATGCGTGTTGCACTTATTTTTTCGTACTCTTTTATAATTTTTTTTTTATTTTCTTCACATTTCCGACTTTGAAAATCCTCCACGTTTTTTAACCCTGTACATGCAGTAGATAATGTAGCGATGCTGAGCGTCACAATGTTACCACTTACAATTATTTTTGTTTCATTGATTAAATAAATTAATAATATAATGTAACTGCAACCCTGTATTATTTTTGGTTCACTAGGCCAGGGCTGAAAAGTCTGGAAAGCTCGTGGACTCCATGCTTGACACCATGACCTCGGTACTAGAAAGATCTACAAACACAGATCCAATTGTTATCTCGACTCCAGCCCTTGCACTAGCCGTTCAGAAGCTGCAGTCAGGACCAGCGTCTAGTCTTAATTTAAGCACCTCGTCAGCGTCAGTCGGGGTAACGGGAGGACTGCAGCTTGCGGCAGGGACGTTTGCTAAGGCGAGTGCGTTAGGCGTTAGCCATGTTACGGCGGTGTAATCGAAAAATACACAATAATTATTTAATTTTAATAGACTTGATGGAGCTTGTGCATTTGAACTATTCGCTTCAGATACAGGGAGCATGGCCAGATTGTCTTTTTTCGGATTCGATCTTCATTAGATTTTATCAAATTACTCCGTAAAGCGCGCATGGCCCAACGTCGGCTCCCTTAGTTCTGAAACTGCATATATCATTCGAAAAATCACTTCACTTTTTCTAGGTGGCAGCAAACAAATTTAACCCATACAGGTACAGTGAAGGTGGCAGCAATATCACATCCCAAGTCACCAGCATCAATATGCAGACCGGAAACGGAAGCGCGGTGAATCTTGGGAACTCTTTTGTCGATTTTGAAATACCCGTGACACTAGAGTTTCAGGAGACAGAGGCCGATATGGAAAATATCACAGCGCAAAAGGGAATTTCTCAGACGATTGAAATATCCGATGGGTCGCAAAATTTGTTCCAGGTTATCCGACCTCCCTCGGATCGGACGACGTATTTCTATGGCAGGCGTGATGGGGAGGCAACCAACAGCTCGTACGATTTCAGAGTCGCGATTAATGGCGCATCGTCATCCGTAAGTATTCGTTCTGCAAGAATATTCTCCAGAAATCGTGCTGTTATATAGCAGGGCAGATGGCTCCTCTTTGAGCTTACTATTATCTTTTTTATATACATGTATTGGTACCAGTAGCATGGTTAAAAAATTATCAGACTTAATGGCACCAATAATGAGTAGCAACTTATTTACCCTCTTAAGAAAAAATTGTGAATAGAAAATTAACTAAATTGTCCTTTTGTAATAATTAGCCCTATAAAGTTTCAACAAACGTCGGCGCGACTGAAATGAAATTTATAAATACCTTCTTCACTTTCTTTTCAGCGCAAAAAGAGATCTACAACGGCATCAAGTCAACCAGATGTCAATAGCACCATCACTGTAGACGTGAGTATGGGCGTATACGGTACCTTTATCTTGGTCTTATTTTAAATCACATACACATGAGGCCTTGGTATTGAGACGTACAGTCTTGGAAAGCTTCAGTACACATAGTCGCAAATTATCTTTTAAATTTCATTTGAATAGAATTATATTTAAAATTTATTGCTGTGTCTTATATTCGTGCCTTGAGATTCCACGTTTGATTTTTTTAATCGAAAATTAACAAGAGTTATAGAAGCCACAATCCGCACAGTGACCTAAAACATGGCGTGGGTCTACAGCAATAACTGACTGTTATCTTTTACAAAAAAACATTGTCTGTTTAAGATATCCATCTCACATACAGTGTTTATTTTAAACGCAGCATTTTATATGTCCCAAATTGTCCGCGTCTACCTGTTCATTTCATTTTCCAGGTGTCACAGGATAGCAACGGGGAGTTGTCGTTGTACGTTCCTGCCGAGGGCCTTGACGGAGCGTCCTCGTTTAATCTGCTCATTCTTGCTGATGGCGGTAAGTTCAGTGTGCTGTGTTTGCTACCTGGTTAAGAAAAAACAACAGCGTCACGAAAGTGTGATTTGCACAGTCCATTGTTGTAAACCGCAACTTAATTTGCCTCATTTTTTTTCTTTTTAATGCTCGACATTAGAATGAGATTGCTGTTTACGTATTGCCTTAAACAGTGAAATAATAACTTATCTTCAGATAATCAGGTCATTTTACAAGAAGTACGGATATGATTTCAATTTGCAATTCTTTTGAAATGCATAATCTACATGTAAATAACGCTGCACCAATAGTTTTTCCGTTTTCATGTAAAAGACGGTGTTCGATATTATTGATAGGGGACGGAGCTAATTCCATCATTTTATCTCAGACAATAAAGCTGAAATTTTCTTTTACAGTTGGCAGTGCCAATGGAAGCAGTCAAAAGTTGACGATGAAGTCGACGGTGATCAACCCCCGTTTTTACAACGCGGCCACGAAATCTTGGAACTCCTCTTCCGGGTTACAGGTAGCTTATATACAAGCACTATTACCATATTTTACGATGACGATCTTTACTTTTTGGTTACTGTGTAGGCCTACTTCCTAGAGAATATGAAAAAGGGGGCAGTAGGTTGAACCAGATTCGTGGTTTACAATAATTACTGTGAAAAGCTACAGAGAGTGTTTTGTACCGTATTGTGCGGTAAATCACGAATTATACATGTATCTGCTAAATGGAGAAAAGGGTCGGCAAATAAATAGAAGAACTTGCATTAGCACGATTGAGATTAAAATATAACGCAAATTGATCGTAACAAAAAGGAGGTAACACACTCGTATACCGTATACAGTGTGAAATATTTACTGGGCCCCATCGGTAGATGCGTTGTGAGAACGCGTTTTTTTTCTTTAATACACATTTGGTACTGATGCAAATGTGTAACGGGACCGTCCGCAACTTGCTGAAGGCCTTATTGCGAACCCGTTTTTATTGCTAAATAAAAAATATTACATATGTATGCGTACCGTAGTTATTGATGTAGAAAAGATTGTTTTGTACATTTTGTAATTTTATGTTCGTACTTTTCTTTGATGTAAGTTCTTTCTATTTTACAAACCCGTGTATTATTTTCTGAGTCAATGATTCTGACATTGCTTTAAACACTACTGTATATTGTTAGCCAATTTTTTGTGAAAAACACAACAGGCAATAACGTTTCCACTATTATTTTTAGGTGTCCAAAGTGACCAAAGAAGGCAAGATGATTTTCAAAAGCAATTTCTTCGGATCTTTTGCCGCCGGACTTTTCATTCCGCCAAACACTATCGACTTCGACAAGGTGTTCGCCAATTTCTCCTCTCTCTTGGCGCAAAGTCCTCACGTTCTCATCGTCATGTGTTCGCTGTTTGTGCTTTATTTCCTTATTCTTATATGGGCCAGGAGGAAAGATCTTCAGGATAATGAAAAGGTTAGAACAGTTGCTTTTACAGGAAACAAAGTGTATTACACGATTAAAACAATGAATGAACGCGTATGCACATTTACTCTACAGAGAACATAGATCTATTGACGCACCAGCTTTCGTTGATTATTCTGTTGATTTTTATTGTAGTCAATCCTAACAACTTTTAAAAGTAGTTGTCTGGTATGTCCTACCTTTGATTTTCCCCGGTTGATGCTTGTAAATATTTTACCATTCCTCATTGCAGTGGGAATACAAGCACCTGATAGAAAATGGCCGCTTTGATAAAGGGAAGTACTTACTGAGCGTGTACACGGGGTCCAAGTCCCCGGCCAGGACGACCGCCAAGCTGTTTGTGGTGCTTTATGGCAAAGACGGGCAGAGTCCGCCTAAGGTCCTCATGGACGGAAGCCGAGAGGTAGGCATATCAAAGGATTTTTATGATGCCATTCACATTAACACCATTGCTCTACCTGGATCGACTCGGGATGGACCCAGGTACTCTCGCTAATTGCAATCAGCCTTACCAAGTGACACGTCTCCTCTTGTTTCCAACGTACTTGTATAGTTACTAGCTTTTCTGTCGTCTACTTAACGCCGGGAGGAGGCGTGCCATTCGGTTAAGCTGATTGCACTTAACGAGAGTAACCGCAGAGTCGGGACGACCCACGTAGACCGTTAGTGTTTATGGGAATGGGGTCTATGTTTCGATTCTTAAAAACACCATTTGTAGAAATATTCGTATTTGTTTGAATTTCCAATCACCTTTTATGTTTTATTAAAACACATCTTCTAGCGCAGGCTAGTTTCCAGAGAAATTGTTTGATAGCGGAATGTACAATGGATAGATAAAGATTCAGTTTTGATTATCTTTCATTAGAACTTCACGCGAGGGGCAGTAAACAATTTTGTCTTCACCTCGCCCGAACCCTTGGGCAAGCTGACCCACTTACACATCTGGCACGAGGAAGTAAGCGGAAATGGAGATTATTTCCTTGAGAAAGTCGTGGTGTACGATATCTTACGCAGGGAAAGGTATGTTCTACATTCCTTGTGCAACCCCAGGAAAAAAAGTATGCTTCGCGACACACTGCTAGCACGTAGATTTTCTGAGTTTTCCTTCCATTTTATTTCAAGTGGCTTAGTTTGAATTTGGTTGATATTTCCTATTAAAGAAAAGCGATTTATACATATGCTTGTTTGGGTAAAAAGCAAGATGACCTTGAAGCAATATCTGAAGAGATACCGTTTCTTAAGCCACTCCATCTCCGAATACCCCAACTACACATACAATAGTTTATCTCTTGGATATTGCATATAAACAAATCATTATTTTAATTAGAGTGAAACTAAGACGTATGCAACATAGAGTGGGATGGTTATTCAGAACCTTTATCTCGCTTTCCGTCAGTCTTCTCATATCAAAATGAACAATCAGGTAAATAAGCATATATACTTCTTCATAAGTTGTGCATTTTGGAAAAATACGATATCCCAGGTTAAATCTCTTTCAGGTCCCATTACTTTTGCGACCAGTGGCTGTCGTCATCACGCGGCGACAATCGCACAGATCGCTTGATGGCGTCCGCTGACGACGAGGGCCTAAACGACTTCAATTTCCTCTTGAGCAGCAACGCCAGCAAGCGCCTGTTTGATGATCACCTCTGGTTCTCGGTGGCGAAGAGGCCCACGCCCAGTCGACTGTCCAGAGTGCAGCGACTTTCAATATGTATTGTAGTCTTATTTCTGTGTATGATCTCCAATGCTATGTGGTTTAGAGAGGAAGACGATACAACAAGCGGTAAATATTGGCTATGCGTTTAATTTGCCTATATTTATCTGTTCATTGTACATAAAATTAATTGTGATAAAAGAAAAACGACGTCTTCATAAATTTAATTGGGGGGGGGGGGGAGATTTGAGCATTGATGTATGTTTTAGACAAGAAAATGTAAAATTAGACACCAAATACGTTGTAAACTATGTCTTTAAAACTTCAACAAGACACTTTTAACGAATTTGCTGCTAAACAGTTATATGACGCAGAGCTGCATTCGAATTGAGAAAGGCAATAGAAATAATTCATATAAAATTCACTGTTTAAACATTCCATTTTTTAATTATTCTAGGCATCCAAATAGGCCCTATTAAGATCACGTTCAGACAGGTCTGGGTTGGGCTGATGAGCAGCGTTCTGGTTGTACCCCCCACGTTGATTATCATGGAGGTCTTTAAACGAAGCAAACCCAGAAATTCCTGCACCACCATCTTCCCCTACATAAGAGACTCCGACGAAAATGAGAGCAAATCGATGGACGCAGACGATGGAAAATTTCAGTCAGCAGTACAGAAATTGATCACCAAAGAAATGCAGGACAAGTCAAAATCGAAAAAAGCGGACAAAGGTTTCGAAATACTAGTCGATCTTCAAATGGAATTAGAAGAAGAAGAAAAGACAAAAAGCAAGGAGAAAAAAATCCGGAAAAAGCCAATTCGATTTCCGTGGTGGAGTGTGGTGTTCGGCTACGTTCTCGCCTTCTTGGCCGTAGCTACCTCGGCCTTCTTCGTGTTACTGTACAGTTTGGAGTGGGGTCCGGAAAAATCCACGAACTGGCTCATTTCTCTTTTCTTCTCCTTTTCACAGTCCATCATCCTGGTTCAGCCGCTTAAGGTAACTAAAGAGAAAATTAAATCTAATACTGGGTCTTACGTTGAAACGACGGTCACGATGTTTCGATCTTAAAACAAAATCTTCTTCGGGTGACACCGATGACGACTCCAAATCAGTTCACCTAAAGAGGGCTCCGTTTCAGCGTAAGATCAAGTACGGTTATTTTCAGTCCCCATTGAAGTTAATATTACCTATATCAAAACATGATATCAGACAAACATATACGGTTCACCAGTTATTAAAGTACGTAGTTGCTGCAACATGTAGTTGTTCAGATTGTTAGTATTTGTAAGAATAAGGTTACTTCAAATAAAGACGGCGGCGAGTCAAAACTACATTCTTTTCACCATCACGTGTAAACTTGCTTGACTGTAATAAAGATGCCTATCTCCAGGTCTTGCTGGCTGCGGTACTGATGGCGTGTCTACTGAGGATGCCGGGGGATGAGGAGGAGGAAGAAGACATGATGATAGCGGAGCACAAACTACAAGATGGTACGTCGTTCGCGAGGGGATATTACATCAATTTAAATCCACCTTGACACCTTTGAGGTGGACTTAAAACGAAATTGTTTCGTGCCTGAAATAGGATAAAACCCGACGAAATTATTTTCAGTTGTTTTTTTTCTATAGCATATCGACAGTTAAAGATTAAGTGGTTGTTGTAATGTTCGCGGCGAGTGATATAACAAGCAGCTTTTGAAAGTTTGACAGTTTGTTGCCCACAGCCAGAGAAACCATTCGTTTATCCGTGACCATTAAATTAACCTTGGACAGTAAATTATTTAATCATTTATACTATTAATTGACCCACTTAAATTGTGGTAAGGAAGTTTATACAAATGTCTTTTTACCCATTGTAAATGGTGTATTTACTTACTAGTATAATGATAATAATTGTTATTAGGCCACACTTTTTTATTTTTATGGATGACATCCTCTGGGTACCCCAAAATTGGTGCGAGAGGGCGAAAAAAAAAAAAAAA